GTGCTTGGGCTTTGAATTTTCTAAAAAAACCCGGCCCGACCCGGCCCGATATTTTCTCTCTCCTCTTTAAAGTCCGGCCCGGCCCGGCCCAAGCCCGTTAAATTTGGGCCGGGCTAGCCCGGCCCGGCCCATTGACGAGCCCTACATCAGATGGCATGTTGCTGCTGACTATCCATAATTAAAGTTGTTAATGTAATTACATATCCCCAAACCCACTTAATGTTATTTTTTGGTGTGCCTCAGCTGGTACTTCCTCAGTTGCTACCTCCTCTAATCTTAAACTAAATAATATTATATCTCTAATCAAGAGATTTGGGTCAATGCTTTGCATAATTAGTCAAAGTTTTGCAGTATCTATCTAGATTAAAGCATAATTATTGTGAGAGTGGTGATTTCTCCACTTCTTTTTCTTCCATTTTATCTACTTACACTCTTTTTTTATAACTAAAAAAGGAGTGTAAGTGGATAAAATAGGAGTGGGGAAATCATTGCCTTTATTGTGATAGCATCTTTCAGACTCCTAAAACATCCAAAATGAAAAATGTTAACAAATTCAGAAGAGACAATTGGGCCACAGGTGCCTTGAAAAACGCACCTTATCATAAAACAAACCAAGACGTAAGCTCTGACCTCACTATATTCCAATCCATCTAATTAAAAAAGACTACGCACACACGCACTAAACTCCATCTTCATCCAGATTTAGATATCTTTGATTTATTATCAATCTCTTCTCTCCAACAATTCCAATTGCAATGGCTTCAGAATCCCATGATGATCAGCTGCACTTTGTTTTGATACCATGGATGTCTCCAGGCCACCTTATACCAATGGCAGACAATGCCAAGCTATTAGCACAGCGTGGTGTGGTTGTTACAATTGTAACCACACCCCTCAATGCCATCAGAATCAAACCGATCATCGATCGTTCCATCGATTCTGGTCTCCCTATCCAACTTGTCCAGTTCAGTTTGCCACTCCAAGAGTTTGGCTTGCCAGAGGGATGTGAAAACATGGATTCAGTTCCCTCGAGAAAATTGTTTTGGAATTTCTTTGCTGCAGTTGAAAAGCTGCAAGAACCAGTTGAGAAATTTCTTGAAACTACGAAACCCAATCCCAGCTGCATAATAGCTGATAAATATATGCCATGGACGGCTAACATTGCTCAAAAGTTTCGGATGCCAAGGCTTTTGTTTGATGGGACTAGTTGCTTCACTCTCTTGTGTTCTCATAACATACAAGAACACAGGGTCCTAGAGAGTGTCTCAGGATCAGAGCCTTTTTTGGTGCCTGGTTTGCCTGATGAGATTGAACTTACTAAATTCCAACTTCCGGGGAATATGAATCCGGGTTCAGAAGATTTCACGAGTCTTCACGACAAAGTAAAAGAATCTGAAGAAGGGGCATATGGGATTGTTGTCAATAGCTTTGAGGAGCTGGAATTCGAATACGTCAAAGAGTACAAAAAGGTCAATCAGGGTAGAGTTTGGAGCATTGGCCCAGTTTCACTATCCAACAAGACCGATTTGGACAAGGCTCAGAGAGGCAACATGGCCTCATTTGATGAAAACAAGTGCTTGAACTGGCTTGGTTCATGGCCTCAGAGCTCAGTGGTTTATGTATGTCTTGGGAGCCTTGGCCAAGTTACAACCCTTCAATTGGTAGAGCTTGGTTTGGGGTTAGAAGCATCGAACCGGCCTTTCGTGTGGGTGATCAGCAGAAATAAAATAGATGAATGGGAAAAATGGCTATTGGAAGATGGATTTGAGGAGAGGATAAAAGGGAGAGGTTTGTTGATCCATGGTTGGGCTCCACAGGTGCTTATATTGTCACACCCTGCAGTTGGAGGATTTCTAACACATTGTGGTTGGAACTCAACATTGGAAGGCATTTGTGCTGGAATTCCAATGATCACATGGCCCTTTTTCGCTGAGCAGTTCTACAATGAGAAGTTTATAGTGCAAGTCTTGAAGATTGGTGAGAGTGTGGGGGCTAAAGTTGCAATTCCCTTGGGGGAACAAGAGATATCTAAGGTGTTGGTGAAGAGGGTTGAGTTTAAGGAGGCTATAGACAAAGTTATGATCAAGGAAGGGAAAGAAGGAGAAGATAGAAGGAAGAGAGCAAGAGAGCTTGCAGTTTTGGCCAAGAAGGCCACAGAAGAAGGAGGATCTTCTTACCTCAACATGACATTGTTGATTGAAGATATAAGATCATGCAAAGCAAACAACTAGCAATATCCATTTAGGGTAAGAGCACATGAATCATTTTTCAATTTGTAGTTAAATGTTTTACCATTAAATGCTTTTATTTAGCTGTTTGGAACATTAATTGGTGCATGATTAGAATTGCCAGAATTCAATCAAATACTCCTGTGCTTATCCAAAATTTGAAACTTTCTATTTCATTGTCAATCTTTCCAATTAATCTGACTGCCCGTTTCATTCTGAATACCATCTGTGAATTTGTGTGCCCAAGAGGTGACCTTATCCTTATGACAGACATGTACAGATAGGCACCGTATGGTGTGCTTGTCCCAATTTCCAGTAGTGTGAGTATAATATGGACTACAACCCAGCCCACTAAAGCTCATTGAACACTAGAGACACAACCAAAGATAGAAGGGCCCAAAGTAGAAGCCCAGAAAAGCAGGATGAAAAATTGAGTGAAAGACAAAGTTTGAGATTATTAGTATTTTTTTTTTCTTTTTCATACGAGTGATATTGGAGGTGTGGGGAATCGAATCTAAGGCCATCTCCAAGTGAGGGCTATATCCTCAAATATACTCCAAAATCCCTAAAATTCATCTTTAAGAGTGGCTACACAAAGAGTTACAAAAAAATGAAGGTCTACACAAAGGGTCAATTCCTAAAATAAAGGCCACATATGACTCTTTGGTCAGTCTGAGCTAAATACCTGGATGGGGCCCAACTGACGTCACCTAAGGTTTTTTTTTTTTTTTAATCCGAAAAACAAAGATTTTTTTATAAAATTTTTATAAAAAAAATCCTAAGGGTATAAAGAGTACTTCCACCACATCTTCATCGGTTTAAAGAGTACTTCCAGTTTCTGGTCGGAAAATAGTACTTCCTATAAAAGATATAATATATACAAATTAATACCGTGACTGCTCACCTGCTTGGTTGTTATGAGACATCAAACCTACTAACACGTCGTTGCTAAATAAAGTATAATATGGCTTAGTTACCCCGTCAATTTGTAGAACAAATTTGTATGTTATAGTCTTTGTTCAATACAAGATGCATCCGTTTCATTTGTAGAGTTGTTCAAGCACACGCGTTGATAATTATCAATCATTAATGAACAAAACTCTTGAAAATGACATCTTTTTTTTTTAATTTTACTAAATTACACAACATATAGCGACACGACTTTTATCGTTAATGTAGAGACGTGAATGAAACTCTTGTAAACAAATCTCTTTTATTTTTTCGACTGAACTGGACAACATGTAGCTAACATTGTGTCCAGGTCAGTGAAGCTAGAGTTCAAAAAAACAAACCTCTTTCCATAGAAATTGAAGTTGTTGAAACCTATGGGCACGCAAAGCATTGACTGAGGCAAAACCAAATTGGGGGTTGAGCCATTGGATATGTAACAGAAGAGACTAACATGCATGTATAAAAGCATATGCTTATAATAATAAAAAACTATCCGTCCAAGTCAAGCACGAGGTAAGTAAACCACTATATCAACAATCATAAGACTTGTAATATGAGGTGACTTTATACATATGAGATCCAACCACACATCCTGCACATATAGAAATTGACCCAGTCTTATTTCCATTTTATTATTATTTTTTAAAAATCTTTTTTGTAAGGGCAATTGACTCAGTCTTATTACTATTATATTATTTCATTTTTCTTGATAAATTTCATTAACCACCCAGTTCTGAAGTCATGAGTGTTGCTCATTCTATCCTCAACTTTGTTCATTAACCAAGAGGGTTGGAAATTGGAACATATTCTAGAGAAGCCTTTTAGTATTGATGAGGAAATTGTATCTTCCCTTCTGGACAATCAACCAAATATCTACAACTTTGGTGCAGGGTTTGGATTCTTCCCTTAATTATTAGAATCTGAGGATAAAATTAGCTGTACGAAAGTAAAACTCACTCACTCATCATAGTGATAGATCATGTCCAAATTTACAGTTTTTTTTTGCACGCAATTTAAAAAAACACATACACACTTGGGCCATGTAGGGTAATGAAATTGCATGTGAACATGACTCGATCAAACCCAGAATTTTGTTGTTTTGATTTTGACTATACATTATTCAAAGTCAAGCTAGCATTGGGAGACTAGGCTTCGCCGAAATCCAATAGTGTAGCCGATCACATTTACAGATCTTCTTTCTGAAACCGTACACCATCTATATGCGTAATAATCTTAGTAGGGAAGAAGACCTGTAACCAATAATTTTTTTTTTCCTTCCCTTTTTAACGATATGGCTTCTCTGGCCAGGCAGAACCAGCCTCACTTTGTCTTAATCCCACTCATGGCACAAGGCCACATGATCCCCATGGTAGACATGGCTAGGCTTATTGCAGAGCGTGGGGTGATGGTCAGCTTGGTCACTACCCCATACAATGCCTCAAGGTTTGAGGCAACAATTTCCAGAGCAATAAAATCTGGCCTTAAAATAGCTCTTGTGGAAATCCCATTTCCATGCCAGGAAGTGGGGCTTCCAATTGAGTGTGAGAATCTTGACATGTTGCCATCAAGAGACCTGCTCAGAAAATTCTATGAGGCTCTAAATCTGCTACAAGAACCGCTCGAACGCTACCTTAAAGAGCACAATCTGCCTCCGAGCTGCATAATATCCGACAAGGCCCTATCATGGACGTCGAAAACAGCTCAGAAATTCAATATTCCGAGGATTGTTTTCCATGGGATGTGCTGCTTCTCACTGCTGAGCTCTCATAATGTCAAGTCCTCTGATGTTCTCCGCTCTGTCACCTCTGACTATGAACCTTTTGTAGTGCCAGGGTTGCCCCAGAGGATTGAGATCACGAAGGCCCAGCTGCCCGGATCATTTGTTACCCTACCCGATTTGGAAGATTTTAGGGAGAAGATACAAGAGGCAGAATCAAAGTCTTATGGGGTTGTGGTGAATAGCTTTAATGAATTGGAACATGGGTGTGCTGAGGAGTTGGAGAAGGTGCTTGGTAAAAAGGTTTGGTGCATTGGGCCTGTTTCGTTGTGCAACAGAAACAATTTGGACAGGTTTTCGAGAGGCAA